TTTGCCTCACCAAAACTTAAATTATGGCCAGTTTGGTGTAAAATACGCAGCCGTTGCAAACTGGAATGATGTTCCTCTTGAAATCAAAAATAGTTTAACGCTTAAAAGTGTCCGTACAAATTTCAAAAAATACCTCATATATATCTCAGTAAACTACAAGTTCTTATATTTAACTCGTAAATGTAAATCTTTACCGTAACGGTATTCACCTTAAAAATGGTTGATTTCTATTTTACTATTTTATTGTTAGGATAATATTCCGCCATTTACTATTTCTTTAAAATTGTTTACATTGTATAATATTCGGACTAATTGTTTTTGGCTTATCTTTAATTACCGGTGGCAACCATTGTCGCAAAACTAAAGAAATGAGGCTTATTCACACATTAGTTGCGCACAGCCCTCTTGGCATGAACGAGCGCTTCACCTTTATAATTAGTCTATTCCTTCCACGTTCCATATATATGCACATCTCCACTTCCATCACTTTATATTTACTCCGACGAAGGACTCGCGTGCGAAACGTCAGTTTCAAAACATCACATACCATACGGTGTATTAAGTTAAATCAATTCTCCTACTGTTCTATTCCAAACATTGACGCGGTTAACTAGTTTATCTGGTTTCTACCATATTCTTTCATTTCATATAGATAAGTAATTACCAATATCCGTAAAGTTATGCGTAAATGATATGATTAAATGATCTGTTTGAATAATTTGTCTTTTATCGAGCATTTTTAAAATAAAGTATGCTTTGAGTTGTTAATAATGATAGTGTTTATTCCTTAGATATTTCCAGGTTACAGTTCCAGTTTCAATTTTTCACTTTTGAAATAAAAGTTAGACTCTGTGCCAACCAACGTGCTTTATGTGCAATTTTACATCATACAAAATATTTCATTTAATGAGAATCAAAAATCTGTCTCCATCAATTACTTTAATTTATTATTTCTTGAAAATGTTAAACAATGAAAAATACTTTTTAATTACTGTAAGGTAACAAGATATTTATGATGATTATACGAAATTTTTAGATTGCGTTAGCGTTGTTCATAGACAAACCATTGTTGTCTGTCTGCAATGCGACCTAACACAGCGACAGGAATGCAAGAGAACAATAATGGTGACTGGCATACCTAGAAGGTAGCTCATTGGAAAAGCCAGTATGTTTCAATGTCTCTCT